GCGCGGCCCCGCCCCGCCAGGTTGTCAGCCCCTCCCCGGGGCCCCGGCTGCTTAGGGGAGGAGGGATCGTGGCTCCGTCACCTCCCAGCCAGGTGCCCTGTAGAGCTAGACTTCTCGCTTCGTGGAGACTCTTGCAGGGCAGGTGTTACTGGGGCGCTGTTAGCATTAAGAAACAAAATATGGCAAATACCGTGAAGGACAAATCCGGAATGTTGAATTTACTGATGGCATACCAAAGTACGTGATAGAGGAGCGGTGTTTAAAAGGACAGTTTAATTATGAAGGAACTTGACACTGAGTCAAGGCTCAGAATGTGGTTTTTCGTATGACTGTTTACAGCCAGGAGAGTAGGGTCTCATTGTCAGAACTAGCTTTCATTTGTAGTTAAGTGACACTACACTTATTTGCTGTTTTCTTTGAGACTTATGCTCAATTCCTTAAAAAAATTCTTCAATATAGTATTGTAGTTAGGTGTCCTGTACTTACACAATTTCTCATATACTGTACTTGCATTTCGGTGTTTCTTGTGGTAGTGAAGATTTGAATCTAGGGCCTTTGCACTGAATTACATCTCCAGCTTTTTTTTTTTTTTTTTTTTTTTAAACAAGTCTTGAGTGCTAATTTTGCAGCCTGGTCTTGAACTTGTGATCCTTTGCCTTAGCATCCCAGAGTGCTGGGATTACAGGCCCACCGTAACTCCTGGCTTTATTTTTATTAAATTTATTTAGGAGACAGTATCTCACTGTGTAGCTCAGGCTGATCTGGAACTAGCAGTGAGTGATCCTTCTGCCTCAGCTTCCTGAGTAGTGGTGTTACAGGCATGTGCTGCCATGCCCTGTAGTATTTTTGTATGAAGAGGAAATCAAGGACCATTGAAAAAATATTGTCTCCAGATATTTACATTTGCTCTTAATATCTGTAGTTTAGTAATATGGTGTATACTTTATTATTTGAAATACAGTGCTATCTGATTTTTATACTGCATTCCTTGCTTTTTGACTATGCCATTGTTGATGAATATAATAAAAAGAAGCTGTGACATTAAAATGGGTTTGGGATTTATAAATACTCAGACACACTGCCCTTTAAAATATACATGGATTCAATTTTAAAAATTGTAAAACTTGTACCAAGCTTGATAGTGCACGCCTGTAATCTCAGCACACAAAAGCTGAGGCAGGAGGATCACAAGGCCATCCTAGGCTACATAGTGAGTTCAAGGCCAGCCTGAACTGCATAGCGAGATCCTGTCTCAAAAATAAATAAATAAAATAAAATTGCATTATATTGATTTTATTGATGCCATATCCTGCCTTTGAGAGATAGAAGACTTTCCCCTTAATTCTTACTCTCATGTTGAGGCAAGTGATGATAGCATCATTAGTCCAGTTTATCATAGCTTAATACCCCCCATACAAGAGCTAGTGTTTTTTTGTTTTACAAAGCCATATATTACTGTGTGTACATAAATTAACCAAAATTCCATCATGTTGCTATCCAGAGGGGGTTCAGATTTTCTCAGGTGTTCCATAAGTGTTTACAGTGGCTTGTTTAGACCCATACCCCAGAGGTTTTTTTCTTTTCTTGATACACATTTTAAATCTTCATCTGTTGTTTTCTCACTTTTCTTCCTTGCCATTGTAAATTTAGCTAATTTATCGTATTCTTTAATATGTACTTCTACTCAATGTTCTCTCAGCCAGTGGTTGGATGTAGAATTGTACTATCAGCTATCAGCTGGCTGCTGTACTTAATTAAAATAAAATAAAATAAAAATTTGGTCCCCTAATGTGCATTAGCCACATTTGAAGTGCTCAGTCACAGATTTTCTTGTGGCTTACTGTTGGAGGAGTGCTGTATAAAATATTTCCATAATTGCAGAAAACTCTGTTGAACCATAGTAATCTAGAAACTGATTAGATTCAAACTTGATTTTTGATTGACGAGGCAAGAAAATTTCATAGGTGTCGATTTTACATCATGAAAATTACTTTCTGTTGCCTTCATTATCAGGGAGATACATGGCTGAATTGTCTCCATTTGTGATGTTACGATTAGCAGCACAGCGGGTTCTGGTGGTGTCAGCCCAATTCATCTCTGAAATTGACCAAGAGCCTTCCATGTAGTGGGGAAGTGCATGGATTTAGATTGACTACATCCATTATTATGTTAGGGGTTGCAAAGTGGTAATTTCCTAGTTTTGTCATTCCTCCATTATTTATTACCTGGGACTCTTATGAAGAACTTTCGTTCAGTTATTTTATTATCCTGAAATACAGTTTGTACAGGAAAGGCAATAAAAATGCTTAATTCTTTCCTTCTGTTTTCAGACTTCATTAATGAGTTGGTGGCCTAGCAACCTCCAAAGGTAACCATGAAGGTTTTTGCCTTTTAAAATTATTATAATGAATTATAGACTTTAATATATTAAAACCATTTATTTTTTGAGACAGGGTCTCAACTCACTGTGTAGCCTAGCCTGGGTTTGAACTGTGGCAATCCTGCCTCAGCCTCCTGAGTGCTGGGATGATAGGCAGTACCACTATGCTCATCTAAATGATTTCAGCATATTGCAATCTTTTTTTCCTTTTTTTGGATACTCAAAATGTTCTCTTTAGTGCATGTTCTGCCTTGTACATCTCTGGCCTCCAGAAAATCCTTGTTTTATTGAGTGGAAGATGATATTAACAGACCACAGTCTGGGTGGGAGGGGTCTTCTTATTACTAGTTTAGGCTTTGATTTTAGGACTCATGGTGGAGAGTTGGGAAATGTATTTTTTTTAAAGAGAAATTATAGCGCTTAGGATTTCTTTGCAGTTCTTTTTTTTTGTCTTATATATGCCACTAGGGATGTATATGGTAAAATATTTGTACTTTAAAGGCATATGGAATAATTTGTGTGGTTTATTAATTTGATATTGAGTTGATAGTTAATTTTATGTCCAATTTTTCAGTACTATTTAAATTTATGTAGAGATTGTTATCCTTTTCTACAGTTAAATAGTGTTCCATTGGTGGATGGATATTAAAGTAGCTCCTGTTGATAAATATTTGTATTTCCTACTATTACAAATTAATATCTTTGTGTATGTATTTTGTATTTTTGAGTATATCTTTGACGCAGATTCCTAGAAATCGTATTTTTGGATCAAAGGATAAACACCAAAATCTCCCTTATAATAGTCAGTTTGTACCTATTTCTGTCTACATTATATATGAGGGCCTGTTTTCCCATAGCCTTGGCATCTGTATATTGTTAAACTTTTAATATTTGGTTAATCAGATACAGAACAGAGCAACTCTGTAAAATTTTAATTTGTATGTCTCATTATGAGGAAAGTTGAACATCTTTTTATATTTTAAGGTAATTTGCACATTTTTCTGTGTATAACTTGTTCATATTGCCTGTCCATTTTTCTATAGATTTTTTAATAGAAATTTTTATAAACTATTTGTCTATTTGGTTAATTAACTCTGTGGTAAAACTTTGAAATACTATTGTTATTTCTCTTTCAACTTAGAGCATTTTCTCCATGCTTCTCCAGCTTATTTTTATGTACTCATATCTCTCAGTCTTTCTCATTTTTTTCTGGGTTTTATTTATTTTTTACAATCAGCATCTTATTTATTTGAAAATAGTAACTCTTCAGTTCTTAGTAAAAATGTGGCTTCCAATGTTTTTCTCCCCATAAGGAATATTTTTCTCTGTTCTTTTGTATTAATATATGTTTGTGATATTAATAATTATGTTCATCTTGGGGAATTGGTATATCTCACATCTTGCTCATTTTATTCCCACTTATCTCCTTTCCCCTTATTTCCACAAATCTCTCTAAAATAGTTTGGATCCTTTCCTTCCCTTCCTTCCCTCCCTCCCTCCTTCCTTCCATCCCTCCCTCCCTCCCCCTTCTTCCTTCCCCTCCCCACATTGTCTCACTAAGTTGTTCAGGCTGGGTTTGAATTCATGCTTCTCCACTTTAGCCTCCCACCGTGTTAGGATTATGGGTGTGCATCACCACACCTGGCTTGTTATCCTTCTTTAAAGGATCTCGAATTGGAGATCAGACATATTTCTACTCTTTTATTATAATTTACTCATAATTTTATTCATAATTTTTATTCCTTTGTGACATTTTGTAATTTGATATTGGGTGTGTCTCAGTTACTTTCTTGTCACTGGGACAAAAACCACCTGCATTTTGAGGGAGGGAAGATT